TAGTAGTAGTAGTAGTAGTAGTAGTAGTAGTAGTAGTAGTAGTAGTAGTCGTCGTCGTCGTCGTCGTCGTCGTCGTCGTCGTCGTCGCCGTCGTAGTAGTCGTAGTAGTCGTGAATGTCAGTCGTAGATTGATCCCTGCCTCGACAGTCCGAGCCCTCCACACGTCCGGGAGGACGCCAACTACCTCCTGCAGGCTTGGGCAGGCAGGGACATGCCCCGATCTGGGGCCCAGGGCCGGCCCGGCCAGGATCGGCGTAAGCGGAGAGTCTGGTACCCTCCGAGAGGAGCCTCACCCGAGAAGCGACGCCCCTCTTCCCCGAAACCGGGTCGCGATTCCCTTCAGGAGCCCCGCGCCGACTCCAGACCCGAGGCGCCCCTCACCTCGACGCTACGGCACACGCACCCTCTATACCCTTCGCCTCCCTTAGAGGAGGGCCCGCTGAGCGACGAAAAGAACCTGGTGCTACGCGAGAGGACATGGATACCTTACGCCGCGGCTTGTGCGGGCTGCCAGCGTGGCACGCCACATTGGAAACGATGGCGCTTACGCGGGAAGCATACGCGCGAATGTCGGCGCAGTCGACCCAATTCTATTCCGCCGCTGCACTGAAGCAGCGGCGGCCCCCCAGCCCACATCCGCTCAGACTCGGTCCCGCGCCGTTCTGCAAGAGGCCCCCCCAGGACCCATGACCTCAGGCGAGGGGGGCATCGGTTTTGACCAAAGCCGACCTCCGTTGCCTAGGGACGGCCTGGGGTGAGTGAGGCCTCACTCGTCGCCGCGGTGCATGCCTCGCAACTGCGAAGATCAGGCTTGCAGCATCCTGCTCCTGCAATACCCTTCCTGGGGGGAATCGGACCGTCCTCACAAACTCCTCGACGCGAGCCCGGCCGTGGCGACGAGACGCCCCCTCGGAGGCCCCGGAAATGTTGAAGCGCGGCGGGGATGGCCGCCCTTGTCGCGACCGGCCCATCTCCACCCCGCCCTCCTCCTCCTCGCCGAGGCTTCGCCGCTTGCCCGCCGCGCCCGTCGGCGACCCTGTGGCACCAGTCGCCGACGCTGGCGAACCAGGCCGCCGCGCCGCTCGCCTCCTTCTCCGCCAGGTCCTTCGCGGGCGCGCCCGCGGCGGGCGCCAGGCGGTGGGGGCGGGCCCCGCGGCGACGTGGAAGGGGAGGGCAGGCGGCACGCGAGAGAGAGGGGAAAGGGCAGGGAGGGGGGGGGCGGGGAGGAAGGGGGGGGCAGAGAGAGGGGCGGGGAGGAACGGGGGAGGGATGGGATCGGAGGCAGGGGAGGCGAGGGAGGGTGGGAGCGAGCAGGGGATAGGCGGGGCAGGGAAGGCGGGGTGGGTGCAGGGGGAGGCGGGTCGGTTCCGCCCGCGGTCGACTTCGCCTGGTCGGCGCCACCGCGAGGCCAGGCGCTCTCAGAGAAGTGGGCGTCGGCCGGTCGGCTTCGTCTGTCGCGGGCAGCCCCCGTCCCGACAAGACCGCGGTTCCCGCTCGACGCTTCCTCCTCTCTTCCTCAAGGCGGTGTTCCTCAAGGCGGTGTTCGAATGCTTTCAACGTACTTGAGAACTGAAGCCGAAATCGAATTGTAGCCCAATTTAGAATCTAGGGCCTCCTTTTTCAAAGCGTCAAACATCCTCTTCATGGCATTGAAAGATGTGCTGAGGCTCTTCCTCAAGGCGGTGTCCCTCCTCGCCGCCGGAAGCCGCCGTCCCGACAAAACCAGCGTTCCTGCTCGAGACATCGTTTTGTTCTACGCTGGACCAGCGCCCTACTCTTCAGCATTGGCGCCGCTCCCAGCAACAACAGCAGCCCCGCTCGAGACTTCCTCCCTTTCTATTCAGGGCCAGGTCCTTGCCTCACCGCCGACAGCCCCCATCCTCACCAAGGCAATCCTGTCATTCGATACTTCCTTGTGCTTTACCCTTCGCTGGGGTTCCAAAGGCGGTCTCGCATCGGCGCAGCAAGGCGCGGGCATGTATTTTCGAGGCGGGATATGTTGCAATTCCCCGGAGGTGTTTGCAAGACCTCATTGGGCGGGAGATCTGGGAATGGGAATAACGGACCCCATGATGTGGATGGTTATTGTGATGGTGGTCGCATGCTTCGTCTGGAAACATCGCGCATGAAGGTAAACTGATTGTTGTTGTTGTTGTTGCTGTTGTTTGTTGTCGTCGTCCCCCCCGCGACCCGGCCCGCGACCCACCCGCGACCCACCCCGCGACCCACCCACGACCCACCCCGCGACCCGCTCGCGACCCACCCGCGACCCAACCGCGACCCAACCGCGACCCACCCGCGACCTGGCCCGCGACCCACCCGCGACCCACCGTCGATCCACCGGCGACCCACCTGCGACCCATCCCGCGACCCACCTACATTGTTTTAACAAAAATCGGCGCCTGCGGCGGGCTCGTTGTATAGCTTGAAAATGTTGCGCCTGCGGCGGGCTTCTTCAGAGCCTCGCAGACTGCAGACGTCCCCGCCGCCCCCTCATTCGTATACGCAACTGCGGGGTGCGGCGGGCTTCTTCAGAGCCTCGCAGACTGCAGACGTCCCCGCCGCCCCCTCACTCGTATACGCAACTGCGGGGTGCTACGTGTATATGTATATATAGATATATATGTATATATATACACATATGTATGAACAAAACAGGGGCGAGGGACCGGGCGGAGGGAGGGAGAGGGGGGGAGAGGGGAGGGGAGGGAGGGTGGGAGCGAGGAAAGAAGGCAGGAAGGACTGGGGAGATGGGCCACGAGGGAAGGGGAGGCGAGGCGGCTTTTCCCATCCCTCCCCCGCCCCACCATCCTCTTCCCCTCCCCGTCCACGCCCCCCCCCCCCCCAGTCACGCCACCACCCCCGCCCTCCGTCCCGTTTCGCATCCCCGCGCCGTCCTTGGCGAAGGACAGGTCCGCCTCCACCGCCCGCTCGGCGTTCTGCGCCGCGCGCTCCAGGAAGCGGATGTCCTCGGGTCGCGCCGCCCGCCCACCCCCACCACCCCGGGGCGCGCCAGAGGCAAGGCCGGGCGGAGCGGGGGCGTGGGAGAGGCGAGCGAGGAATGGGGAGGTGCGGGAGGAGAGGGAGGGGAGGGAGAGGCGGGGGCAGGAGGGAGAGAGGGGCGGAAGGAAGGGCGAGGGGGAGGGGGGGGCCCTCCCCCCTCCCCCCTCGCTCATCCTTCCGCTGAGGAGCATGGGAAGCCCCTCCCCAGGAGAGGCTTCCTGGTTTCCAATCCTCTTCTGCGCTGCGATGTCCTCCGATTTTTCGCTGGCCAGACTTAGCGACACAACGTCAAAGCCGGCCTCCTCCTCCTCCTCCTCCTCCTCCTCCTCCTCCTCCTCCTCCTCCTCCTCCTCCTCCTCCTCCTCTGGTCCTGAAGGAGCCTGTGCTCGAGGACAGGCTGCAGCACGGCTCGGCGATGTGATGCTACCGAAAACCGCAGCATGGGCCTCTTCCCTCCCCATAAAAAAGAGGTCACCCCAATTTTCTGCTCGGGGCAACATTTGTTGGTCTCTTGGGAGCTCTGCCGCGCCATATCGCCCCCCTCCTGATGCCCGTAGCGCACAGCGCATGCAGTGTCATACTCTAGCACGCTCCCCGCTGCAACTTCGCCTGTGAAAAAGGAGTAGAGCAGCTTGTGCTCCCTGGCGCCTTTGGCCGCAACCGTAGCGCGCATTGGGCGTGGTGACTTCGACGCCATGGCTGCCTGCCCTCCCGACGCCGCAGGCCACAACAAGGCAAACATGCTTAGGGGAACGAAAAACAACACAAAATGAACTTTCGGAGGTCGTCACGGGTTCCCGGGACCTGCGCTAAACCACCGTCCCTGGCGCGCGGAGCGCGCCTCTGGTGGCGCCAGAGGGACCCAGAGCCGATCCAGAACATCCCCGCGGAGATCCAACAGTTTATGCTTACGCAATGTTGCCCCAACCATCCTGCATGGGGTTCTCGGCTCGAAAATAACATAATGGTCGCGTCTCCCCTCCTCCCTCACCTCCTCCTCTCTCCTGCCTCCGATGTCCTCCCTCTCGCCCTTCGCTGTTTCCCAACCCTCCTGTGGAGGGTTCCCGTTTCGATTCCCAATCCTCCTGTGTTGGGCTCTCGTGTTGAATGCAGCACTGCGCTCTCCGACCTCCTTCCTCCTCCTTCCCCTTTTGCTTTCTCCTCTGCCCCCTCCTGTCTCCCTGGGGGGCTGCGAAGTGTGTGCTTGTCACTATTTTCGTGGGCTCCCAGGAGGTCCAGCGAGATGGGGTTACACGGGGACCCAGTTGAGACCTCCTGTCTCCCTGGGGGGCTGCGGAGTGTGTACTTGTCACTATTTTCGTGGGCTCCCAGGAGGTCCAGCGAGATGGGGTTACACGGGGACCCAGTTGAGACCTCGTGGCTCCCTGGGGGGCTGCGAAGTGTGACGCTGGTGCCACCTCCGTGGGTTCCTGGGAGGTCGCGCGGGGTGGAACTACGGAGACCCAGTTGAAACCTCGCGGCTCCTTGGGGGCTGCGAAAAGTAAGCTGTCGCCACATTCGAGTGCGCACAAGAAGTCGCGCGGGGTGGAGTTGTCCGGGGATCAAATTAAAACTTGCGGTTCCCTGCAGGGCTGCGAAGTGTGAACCTGTCATCATTATCGTGCTCTCTTGGGAGGTCGCGAGGGTGGGAGTTGTACGAAGGCCCAATTGAAACCTCGCGGCTCCCTGCGCGGCTGCGAAGTGTGAAACTGTCGCCAAGTTCGTGGGGTCCTGGGAGGTCGTGCGGAGTGGAGTTGTACGGGGACCCAGTTGAAACCTCGCGGCTCCCTGGGGGCTGCGAAGTGTGAAACTGTCGCCACTTTCTGGGTTCCTGGGAAGTCCAGCGGAGTGGATCTGTACAAGGATCCCGTCGAGACCTCGCGGCTCCATGTGGGGCTGCGAAATGTGAAACTGCCGCCGCTCCCGTGGACTCCTGGGAGGTCGAACGGAGTGGAATTTTACGGTGGCCCAGTTGAACCCTCGCGGCCCCGTTGGGGGGCTTCGAAATGTGAAACTGTCGCCACTCGTGTGGGTTCCTGGGAGGTCGCGCGGAGTGGGTTTGCACGGGGACCACATCGAAGATTCGCGGCCCCCTGGGGGGCTGGGGGGCTGCGAAGTGTGGAACTGTCGCCACGTCTGTGGGCTCCACATGTACTTAACGGGCGAAGAACGGTATAGAATAAACTTTTTCGCTGTCGGGGGCGCCTGTCCCAGGGCGGCTGGAAAGTTTATACCCCTACGGTGCCACCGTAAGGGTATAAACTTTCCAGCCGCCCAGGGACACGCGCCCCCGACAACGAAAAAGTTTATTTTATACCGTTCTTCGCCCGTGAATGTACGTCATGCTCTCGACGGAGACGTTATCGGACAACCCGCTCACGGTGCGCGACCCAGGCCTCGACGTCTTCTCGTCCCGGGGGCCGCCGGCGGCCCAGGCCGCGCTCCCCCGGACGCTTGGCACCCGCATCTGCGCGTGGCACGAAGGCCCGCCGAGAGGTTGCCGCGCGAGCTCGGCCTGGAGCAGGTCCTGCACGACTGACGGAAGCGCCTGCCTGTGGTGTCCGGCGAGTTCGCGGCAGTTGCCGCCAGCGCATCACTGGCGCGGGCGGCGGTGAGAGCTGCGGCCGACGGCGACTGCAGCCATCCAAGATTGCAGAAGCTTCCGTAGCGCGTGGCGCTGTCCCGTCGCGCAGCGCTTGTCGCTGTCGTATCGAAGCTCGCAGGGAGCCGCTGCTCCACGCAGCGCATGGCGCCGTCTTTGTGCGCGTGGCCCCCCCTCCTCAGATGCCTCTGGCCCGCCATGCAAGCCGTTGCGCTTGCCTCGCTCAGCGCGACGCGCTGTTTTGCTTCAGAGCGTGTCGCGCTGTTCTGTCCCGCGTATGTAGCGCTCGGCGCTGTTACTGTCATTGAACACGTATGTTCCCGCTTCACCCTCCTCAATACGCTTCTGTCCCCGTCCCTGCGCGTTTATGTTGTGTATTTCTGGGAGCTCATGCGCACTGAGAGTTCTTCAATATGTTTGTTTGTAGTGAGCGGTCCTAAATATAGTCGCCAAATGTTTAGACAGGGTTGGGTTCGTCGCCGCGGCCGGGAAACATTGTTTCGAAATGGGTCGGTATGTTAGGTCGTCAGGTCGGGAACTGCCGAGGCGGAAACATTGTCCAGGAGGGCTCCCCGGGCTGACGGGGCGGGCCGCTGAGGGCGTCAAGGCTGCGAACGCGCCCTCGATGCGGGGGCGAAAGGCGGCGCGGCGCAGAGGACGGAGCTCGCCCTGGAGCTGGCGGCGCCGGCGCCCGTTGTACGACCAGGCGGACCTGAGCACGGTGCCTGTAGTGCGCGCGTGGGCAAGGGGTGCCACCCTGGGTCGCGGGGCCAGCGCTGGCGGCCTACCCGGCGAGTCGCCGGGCACGGATCGGCAAGGCCATCGGCTTGTCTAGGTCGCCCGAGCGTGGCCCTCTGGTCTACGTCGACAACTTCATCCTGTGGGCTCGGGTCGGTGCCGAGGCTTGCGGCGACGCCGCAGACCAGCTCCGGCAGGCGCTGCATGCCACGCAGGCGTTTGAAGCGGCCATGGATTCGAAGCTGACAAGGACGAAGTCCCACCAATTCGGCATTCGCACGGTTTTCCGGAATTGGCTGGCGGAACAGACTCCCAGGACCTCCGCGAGCACAGAGTTCTGTGACCTGGGGGTGGCCGCTGCGGCTGGCAAGCCTCGTCGGTGCGCTTTCAACACGGATCGGCTGCGCATTGCGCGGGGCCGTTTCGGCAGGCTGCCCGTCGGCTTTGACGTGCGTTGCCGGCTGGGCGCTGCCGCCAGCACGGCTGCTGGCTTGTTGCACGGCGCGGAATGCGGTCGACCGCCTGCGCAGGAATTGGCTGGCCTCCGCACGGCGGCGCGGCAAACGGTCTGCCGCGGTGGCATGCGGGCAACCACAGGGTCGGAGTGCTGGCACCGAGCTGGCGGCTGCATCTGGCGACGGTCACGGTCTGGCGCCGCTCTGGCAGGACGCGGCAGCGGCCCTCGGCACATGCCGTGGGCGCGGATTCGGGCCCATCTCCGCCGCCCTCAGGAGCCTGACGGAGCTGCACCTGGGCGCTGACATCGAGTGCTGGACCAGGGTGAGCGCCGCCGGCCGACCGGAGTCTGCTAGACACTCGCGCTTTGCTGCTCGGAGCGTGGTCCATGCGCGAGGCGCACTCGGTGGCGGAGATGCACGTGGCCTACGGGTACGTCGCGGGCGGCATTGACAGATGGGCCACGCTGCGGCTGGTGGTCAGCGGCGCGCTGGCGCCCGATGCTGCAAGGGACATCCGCGCCGTGACTTCGCGCGGTGACCGAAACAGTGGCCCCGAAGTGGGGCCAGCCAGCACTGTGCCCGCACTGCAGCGTGGCGCCGGAGGACCTGGACCACCGCCTGTGGCAGTGCCCGCGCTGAGAGCCCACCCGGGTCGCCGCACTGGGGCCCGTGAGCAGACACCGCGACGGTCTGCGCGAGGCTACCGCTGCTGGAGACCCCCCTCACAGGAGCACTGCCCCCCCCAGGACCCGCGGCTGGCGGGGCTCGCGGAGCAGGCCTGGCTGCCGCGGGGCGAGCCCCCCGCGGAGTGGGCGCACGCGGAGCAGTGGGAGCGCGCTGCCCCGGACTGCCGCAGCGGAGCCCTGCGCGGACGGTGGGCCAAGGGCCAAGAGGCGCACTTACTGTAAGTCCACGCCGCGACGGCCCGCGAGCGGGGGGCCTCCCAGGAGGACCGCGCGGGCGACGCGGCCGCAGACCACCATGCAGGCCGGGCGGCCGGGGCCCGCTTGCCGCCGTCTGCGCTCCTCTGGGGGCGCGCGCGCGGGCTGGGCGCGCTTGCTGCAGTGCAGCGGGTGATGGCAGCCGTGGAGCCGGCCATTCTGAAGGTCAGCCACGGCGACGGCGCCCGCTGGCCCCGCGGCGCGCTGGCGGCTGGAGGGCCCCTGTGCTGCAGGCGGCGCGCGCCCCGCGAGGGTGGCGGCGCGGCAGCTGCGGCCGCCGCGGCCACCCGCGCGCCGCGGGCTCCGCGGCCCGCGCGGCGCCCCGCGGCCAGGAGGGGGGTGCGATGGGGGAGTGCCGACATGGGCTGCAGGTGCGCTGTGTGCCACGTGGCCCGGCGCCCATGGGGGCTTCGGCGGGTGGCTCCCCTGCGGGGCCACGGCGCGTTATGAGGGAGGAGCCGAGCTGGGCACGCGGAGGGCAGAGGCAGGGACGGGAGGGGCAGCGGGACGGGGTGGCGCGGGGCGCCTGCGGATTCAAAACGAGGACCGAGCAACACACAGGATGCTTGGAAGCCACATGATCTGTGCCTTGCCCTGCCGCTCCCGTCACTCCGCGGCAGGCGATGCAGAGAGGCCGCGCTCTCCCCGCAGCCTGGAGAATGCGGGCGGTGACCCTTACCACTGCCCACAACCTCCTCCTGGTCGTCATTACCCTCATTGTCTCATTGTCGACCTCCTCCATCTGCTCCTCCCCCCATCTGGAGATGACACAGCCACCGATGTAAGCGAACAACAAAACCAGGATCTGCAGCGCCGGGCACATGGAAGGCGCAGGAGGCCGCAATGCAGGGCTTGCCGGAACCACAACCTCAAGAGTGCGAACCACAACCTCATGACTGGAGCTTCATTGTCGACCTCCTCCATCTGCTCCTCCCCCTATCTGGAGATCGTGCGAGCGCGCGCAGACGATCCTTGCTGAGAAGGTCCGCGTCTTCGGCGATCACCTGCCCCGGAGCGGCTGCAGATCGGCCTCTTCCACCCCGCATCCTCTGCCCAAGACCCCGGCGGGGATCGAGCAGGACGGCGAGGTGAGTGTTGGTTGGAGCGGCGATGCTGACGCCGATTGCCTGACGAGACGGGGACTCAGCAGGCGCGGCATCACTACTTCGATGCTCCATCATGTTGCACCCCTCGTCAGGAAAATGGTCTGCGGCCTGGGTGTTCCCCCCCCCCATTCCTGGACGGACGACCGCCAACCGTGCCAAAGAGTCGAGCCGATCAGGACTACAGCCTGCATGAGCACGTCGGCAGGCGACCCAAGCGTTGAAGCGCGGCAGAGGAGTGCTGACAAGGACGGTGTGTGGGCAGCCCTCTAGCCAATCCAGCTACGTAGCTCTCGAAATCACAACGTCGGTAAGGAGGGAGTGAAGGATAGAAGGGTGATACCATGAAAATATCCGCCACCGTGCCGCTGTGCACAGGAAGGGCGTGTCCTCAGCCTTTGCCTAACCCTCTCAGCCTTAATCCATGAGTCTGCCAGAGGCCATCTCACCCTCTCACCCTCCACACCAAGAGGCCTCCAAGACGGCCCAAGAGGCTTCCAAGAAGCCTGCCAAGAGGGTCCCAAGAGGCCAACATCAGGTGTGTTCCGTCGGTTTGTGAAGTTGTGTGACGTTCTCGCATGTTCTGCTTCCCGACACTCCCAGACGACCCTAGAGGGCCACAATAGTTTCCCAAGATGCCTTCGAGAACGCCCCCAAACGGCTCATGAGGGCCCCAAGACGGTCCAAGACGGCCCAAGGGGCCCCAAAAACGGTTCCAACAGGGGGCCCAGAGGGGGAGCCGATCGGACATTTCGAGCCCTTGGCCCCGAAGGGCCCCCCGCAGGCCCCAAGAGGCTCCCAAAGGCCCGCAAGAGGCCCCGAGAAGCCCCCAAGAGGCCCTCAATAGGCCCCCAAGAGGTCCCCAAGAGGCCTCCGAGAGCGCTCCGAAGAGACCCCAAGAAGCATCCCCGAGAACTCTGACACACAACCCAGGCACGGTGGCGGGATGGGCCGAAGGCCACGAGATCCGCCGCCCCCTGTCGATTCATCGCAGGGGTCCCTGGCGTGCTGGATTTCTTCGGTTTTGGTTTTGGTTCTTTTTCTCAAAAAACTCTCCCAATGGGTTGCGGCCCGTACCGCCGGCCGCCCCCCAAGACCCGCAAGACGCACACGCCATCGCCCAATCCCAATTCTTCCTCCAAGACGGCCCAACATGGCATCCAGGATGGTCACGTTGGCCCAAGATGGCCTCCAAGATGGTCCAAGATGGTCTCCAAGTCCACGCAAGATGGTCCAAGACGGCCTCCGAGACGGCCCAAGAGGGTCCAAGATACCTCCAAGTTCGCCCAAGAAGCCTCCAAGACGGCCCAAGAGGTCTCCAAGAGGTTCTCCAGGAGGGCCCGAAGAGGCCCAAATCGTCCACTTTACGATGGTTTTGGAAGGATTTTGGTTTTTGTCTTTTCGGCTTCCCGAGGCTCCAAGACAGCCCAGGAGGCCTCCAAGAGCGCCCCAAGACGGCCCAAGAGGCCTCCAGGAGCCCAGAAGGGCCCCCAAGACGGCTCCCGACGGCGTCAGACGTGCCAGGAACCCACCAAGATGGCAGAAGTTGGCTCGAAGCTGGCCTAACTAAGACGGTCCAAGAGGCCCCCAAGAGGGCATCCAGGAAGGCCAGAAGAGGCCCAAAACATTGCTCCTACGGTTTTTGACGGATTTTGACATTTGCTTCTTGTCGGCCTTCCGACGGCCCGAGACGGCCCAAGAGCCCCCGAAGATCGCTCAAGAGGCCTCCGAGATAGTCCCAGAACGGCCCAAGAGCGCCCCAAGACGGCCCCAAGAGGCCCCCAAGACGGCACGGGAGGCCTTTAAGACGCCCAAGATGGGCCTCCAAGACGGCCCTGGAGCATTCCAAGAGGGCCCCAAGTCGGCCCATAGAGGCCCCCCAAACGCCTTCCGACGGCGTCAGACGGACCAGGAGCCCACCAAGACGGCCGAACATGGCCCTAAGATGGCCCAAGACGGCCCAAGAGGCCCAGAGGGGCCCCCCAAACAGCTTCCGACGGCGTCGGACGGGCCAGGAGCCCACCAACAAAGGCCGAAGATGGTCCTAAGATGGCCCAAGACGGCCCAAGAGGCTCCCAAGAGGGCCCCCAGGAAGGCCCGAAGAGGCCAAAATCATCGATTTCCCATTAGTTGATTAAGGATTGCATTTGCATTTTGTTCGGCCTTCCGACGGCCCGAGACGGCCCAATTGCCCCCAAAGATCGCCCAAGAGGCCCCCAAGACGGCCCCAAGAGGCCCCCAAGACGGCCCACGAGGTCTCCAAGACGCTCAACATGGCCTCCAAGACGGCCCAAGAGCCCTCCAAGACGTCTTCCAAGAAGGCCCGAAAGGGTCAAAATGGCCTCCAGACGGCCAAGATGACCTTCAAGATGCCCACGTGTTCCCCGAAGGCGTTCCAAGCCGATTCGGGGAACACATGGTCCGATAGCTTGGCAGGTCTGGCCTCAACGTTCGGCCACATAGACGCTTCCAAAAGGGCAGGAAGCGGCGGTGATTCGCCGCAAGCGTCTTCCATACATACATTTTAAAACACGCTCCCACAACCGTGACGAGCTGGACACACCAAGAAATGACACACCAAGAAATTAATACGGATCGCCCAGCTTCAAGCTTAGGGCACAAGCCCAACCTAATAGTCAAGGAAACGGTCCGCAGGAATTCTACACAGGTGCAAAGCAAAGAGTCCAAGATCTAAGAGGACAGCTGCTTTCCATTGATCGAGCCCCATGTGCCCCCACAGTGGGCGACGATTCCGCACCACCAGGCTGACACCACACATACAACTTGCCGATGCTACCAACAAAACATGCAAGTAACAATCAAGCGAGGGAGTTCCACCGAGAGCAGCCACTGAAATTCCCAATGCGGCCCTGTACTGCAGGTCCGTGCCGTGTCGACCCTGGCGTTGGTTCCTGACACCGCGCTGGATCGTTCAACCTTGAACGATCGGCCGTCTCCGCAACGTCCGATCGTTCAACATCGACCGATTCTGGGCCGCCGTCGGCGTTCAACGTTGAGCGTCGGCGGCTGGGTCGCCGCCGGTCGACACGACGCGAACCTACCGTAGCAAGGTTGGACCGCCAATCGCTGCGCAGAATGCTCGTGCGTTCAACTACTCGGCGCACCGCAGACGCGGGCGCCCTCGAGCGCGCAGACTGCCACATTGAAGGGGCCCCAGGACACACAAATAAATACACACAAATAAAAATAGTCCCCATATTTTCCCATATTTTCTGGGTTTCTGTCTTCCCCCCCACTTCCCATATTTTTCCATATTTTCTGGGAAATCGACGATTAATTGTGTCTGTGTTTTTTTCCCTCCTGAAGACTATCACATGTCCTCCACATGTATTGGAGCATTCGACCTGCACCAAGCAGCACGAGGCTTGGGGGGAAGGGGGGGCAGGAGGGGGAGGGACGACACCCTTTCGACCCACCTCGTCTGCGAGCCAACTGCACCAGGCCAGTTTGCGCTCAGCTGCCGCTCAAGTCCCGTCTCAGCTATCACAGGTCGGGAAGCCGGCACAAGTGGGCCCCGCATGGGACACACGCGCACACACGCGCTGTCTGCCGATCGCGGCCTCGCGCGCAGGGACCAGGCGGAGCAAGTCGGCCAGAGGGCCAACAAGGAGCGCGCGCGGCCTGCCTCTCACAAGACGGGGCAGGGATCCGCACGGATCGACCACGCCGTGCGCATGCCAGGACATGTGAAGGGGCCCCAGGACACACGAACAAATGCACACAAATAAGATGTTCCCCCCCACTTCCCATATTTCTGACTACCTACCAGACCACCCCAACCCAACCCGAAGACCCGAATTTCGGGTTGGGGGGGGTAAGGGTTCCACATGCGTTTTTTCGATGTTTCCCGACCCCCCCCCCCACTGGAAATCGAGGGTAAATCTGAGCCTTCGGGTTGGGTTGGGGTGGTTTGGTGGGTGGTGAATTTCCCCCCCACTTCCCATATTTTCCCATACTTTCCGGGGAGTGGACGATTCATTGTGTCTGTATGTTTTCTCCCCTCCTGGACATGGGCGGCAAGGCGCGCGGAGCGGCCACGCCACGGCGCGACAAGAAGCCGCTCCGCCGCGGCATAAAGCGACTACAGTCGGGGCGTTGACCTAAGGAACCCCAAATAAGGAACGAGGCCCCTTTTTTAAAGGGGCCCAGGACACACAAATAAATACACACAAACAAAAGGATTCCCCATATTTTCTGGATTTTTGTCTTCCCCCCCACTTCCCATATTTTCCAGTATTTTCTGGGGAATCGCCGATTAATTGTGTCTGTGTGTTTCTTTCCCTCCTGATTTTTCCGTAAGTCAGACTTCGATTTCCCATCGAAAACATGAGGAAAACCTGAGGCAAGCTGCGAAACACTTAAGGAACGCGGAGCCCCTCCCCAACCAAAAGGGTTCCTTCTTCAGGGCCCCGACTGTACTCTGCTCTATACTCGGCACGCGGCAGCGGGAGACCCGGATCCAACTGTTCGTCCCGGGTCGCTCTCTGACGAGCCAGGAGCCCGTCGAAGACCCCCAGAAGCGCAAATGCCGACACCCCAGGAGGACGAGGAGGAGGACGAGGAGGAGGAAGAAGAGGGGGTGAGGAGGAGGAGAAGGAGGAGGAGGAGGAGGAGGAGGAGGAGGAGAAGGAGGAGGAGGAGGAGGAGAAGGAGGACCCCTCACGGCGTCGGAGCTCTGGCCCCCCGGCATCGACCCTGAGATGCCTTCCGACTGGAACTGCCAGAGAGAGCCCGAGTGGCCAGCGAGCACGCCCGGAGAGACGGCAACGGCCGGCGGCGGGCGGGCGAGAGCGGGAGCGCACGCGACGCGACGCGCGCGAGCGCGCAGTCGTCGTCGTCGTCGTCGTCGTCGTCGTCGTCGTCGTCGTCGTCGTCGTCGTCGTCGTCGTCGTCGTCGTCGTCGTCGTCGTCGTCGTTATCGCTCGTCGTCGTGAACACGACTTCCTGATTTGACCGATCGGAACTCGGGGTTTCGAATTTCTGCGGAATTCCGCGTTTCGAAACGAATCCCACGTTTCGAGGCGACTTCCCGAAATCACTGTTGAGGCCGATTTCGACCGCACGGGTGTCCGGTTTTGGGCCGATTCCGGGGTTGAGCTCTCCACCGTGTTACAGAGTGCTGCGCTGGCACCGTGGGGGGATTTGTCGACGGCATCTGGGCATGCAGGGTAGAGGTTTTGAAGATGGAGGATGAAGCGAGTGTTTTTGGAGAGGTAGAGGTGTAGAGGTTCTGAAGAGGTAGAGGTTTGAAAGTGTGGGAGGATTCGACGAGCTGCAATATTTAGAAGAGGCAGCTGCGAACGGTAAAACATTCCAGACGAGATTCACGATATTCAAGCATTTGCCGCGGGTGAACTGGTTAGACGAGTTAGGTTTGTTCGAAAGAGGGGCAGGAATCCTGAGAGTTGAAAAGTAAACATGTGTCCAACCCGACCCTCCTGGTGTCGATGCCCCCTCTATTATTTACGACCGGTTGTCAACAGCCGACCAAGACCGCGTGTGCCGCGTGACCTGGGGAATATCCTTGCCCTCCAGCAGCGACTGGCCCTCGAGCTCGCCGCCGGTGATGAGGGCCACGCCACCTGGAGTGCGCCCGGCCAAGAAGCCTTGCTCTTCCCGCGCTGCCCCGTCGCACTGTCAGAAGGCCGCCCCGCACGACTGATCTGCAACCACTGCGCAGATCTATCCAAGTCCTCCTCCTCCTCCTCCTCCTCCTCCTCCTCCTCCTCCTCCTCCTCCTCCTCCTCCCCCACATCCACATCGTCCTCGTCTGTAGCCTTGTCTGGGATCAAGTCCACAACGTGGAGCCCAGTGGAGCTCGAGTTTGGTATGGTGACGCCCCTACTTGCGCACCCGCGCCTGCCAGAGCAGGTACATTAAAGCTTCAATCTCTGGCACGGTCTTCAATGTTTCAGTCATGCATAATTGCCCTGCCGCACGTCCGGGGTGCTCATCAGCGTGCCAGTCTGCTGAATGCGGAGGAAGACAATCCACTGCGACCGGCATCTGACGCCGACGCTGGGCATGGGCGGTGAAGTGGCTGCGCAAATGGTGTTCCCACCCGACGAGGGGAGGGGGAGGAGGGGGAGGAGGGGGAGGAGGGGGAGGAGGAGGAGGAGGAGGAGGATGAGGAGGAGGAGGAGGAGGAGGAGGAGGGGGAGGAGGAGGAGGAGCGGGGGCGCGAAGGTGACACCGCGACGATCGCGTGGAGTCTACGGTCGGAACTTTTGGACAGCGTGTCGCCGCGGCCGCTCCTCTCGACAGGCTATATGCCCTGCGAGCCGATGGCGGGTCGCTCCGCTCGCGCGCGGCGGCCGGGAGACGCTGGGGACGCCGACGCCTGCGGACTGCGACGTCCTCCTCCTCCATCCTCTCCCTCCCTCCTCCTCCTCCTCCTCCTCCCTCCCTCCTCCTCCTCCTCCTCCTCCTCCTCCTCCTCCCTCCTCTCCTCCTCCTCTCTCCTCCTCCTCCTCCTCCTCCTCCCTCCTCCTCCCTCCCCCGCGCCGCCCCCCGCCCTCCCGACCAGGGCGGCCCCCGGGCGCATGGCTCCGCTGGCGCGCCTGGCAGCCGCGCTGCCGGTGGCCTGCGCGTGCCACGCCGAAGCGCGGTGGGCCAGCACCGACGGAGCGACACGCTGAGCCGCGAGTTCCCGACCGCACACGTTCGGCTACATGCGAGAGTGGCCCTACAGCCCTCGTCAGAATTAACCTCAAGAATGTCTGACGTGGCTTGAACTGCTTGTCGGAAGATCTGGGGCCGAGTATCGATGAGTGCGGGGTACTTGCATGCGCCGCCCCTCCAATGTCGGTCGACGTCAAACTTTCGAGTCAACTTCGGTCAGACTATCTTTGCCCTCGCCCCGACATTGAAGGGGCGGCGTGTCGACATTGAGGGGCGCGCCGAAATCGAAATGACGTGCCAGCAACTGTTGAGGTTAATTTTGACGAGGGTAGTAGATAAGAGTGATCTCTGGTGCGCAGCTAAACGGAGGACGCGGGGTGGCCAAGCCTGGGCGCGCGGGCCGCTGCTAGCGGCTTCGCGCTCGAAGAGCGGGAGACCCCATTGGGCCCGTGTCAACGGTCACTCCGGCGAAAGGTCACTCTTACGTCTAGTCTTAAGTCGGGCTTGTCCCTCTACAGAAGGAATGCTCAAAAAAGTCGAATAATAGTATGGAGACGATTTTCTGTTATGTTTGACTACGTGGGTGAATTGTTTCACTATTTTTCATTTTTCGCTGCGTGGTGACCAGATCGTAAGAGGAAGTAGCCACCAATCGGCTCCGAGCTGTCTCATTGCGCATCGCTGGCCACCGCGGTCGCACGGGAGACAGTCGTCCCACAGACAGGCCACTGATTGGCCCTCGGAGCCCTCGCATCACACCCCCCAATCCTGCCTCCTCTCCCCCCCACCTCCTCCCCCACACCTCCCACACCCTTGCCCACTCTTCGCTCCTCCCCTGGAGGAAGAAAAACTGCATAAACATGACGCTTCGACGGTACGCACGAATTTCTTGGATCTGCGCTGGACTTCTCTCCCTGGCGCGCGGAGCGCGCCAGGGGCGGCGCTGGAGGCGCCGCCAGGGGGGCCCCAGCGCTGACCCAAGGAATCCTCGCGGAGCTCTGAAAATTCTGCTCAAATATTTTTGTTATTCTTCTCCGATCCTCCCCGTCCTCCTTCGGCTGCGCGCAAGAGCGACCCTGGCTAAGAGTGACCTTTGGTGCGCGGCTTTTGGGGGGCCGCGGGGGGGGCCAAGAGCAAGCGCGCAAGACGCCTCCGCCGCCTCGCGTTCGGCGATCGGGGCACCCGGTGGGCCCGCACCAAGGGTCACTCTGGCGAACGGTCACTCTTCCGTCTCGTCGACTCCTCCTCTCTGAAGGGGCCCCAGGACACACAAATAAATACACACAAGTAAACATTTTCCCCGTACTTTCCCATATTCTCTGTTTTTTTGTCTTCCCCCCCACTTCCCATATTTTCGCATATTTTCTGGGGGAATCGACGATTAATTGTGTCTGTGTTTTTTTTTTCCCCTCCTGACTCTCCTCTGCTTCCTCCTGGCAGGCGGCCCTGGCTCGCAGCCGACGCCTCTCGCCGAGGGGAGCGGCCGCCGAGCGATCTGCAGCGGTGCCGGGCCCCCGCGGCTCGCAGGACACGAGACGGGCGGACACGCGGCGCCCCTCCTCCGCTCCCGTCCTCCTCCTCCATCCTCCTCCTCCTCCTCCTCCTCCTCCTCCTCCTCCTCCTCCTCCTCCTCCTCCTCCTCCATCTTCCATCCTCCTCCTCCTCCTCCTCCTCCTCCTCCTCCTCCTCCTCCATCTTCCATCCTCCCTCCTCCTCCTCCTCCTCCTCCTCCTCCTCCTCCTCCCTCCTCCTCCTCCTCCTCTCCTCCTCCTCCTCCTCCTCCTCCTCCATCCTCCATCCTCCTCCTCCATCCTCCTCCGCCTCCATCCTCCTCCATCCTCCTCGTCTCCTCGTCCCCTCCCCCGCTCCAGCCCATCCCTCGAGCCTCATCCCTCCGCTCCTCCCTGCAGCCCGAGTGTGTCCTCCCCTGAGGGCTTTGGAGGCTCCGTCGAGGCCACCCTGCGCCCGCCACGGCAGGGTGGCCGCTGCTGTTGCAGACAGGGCCTGGCTTCAGGTCGGGCACGTCCCCCTACAGGCTCATTTTGGACGAACAATCAAAAATAGTCAGAACAGATTCACAGATTGCCCCCAAACAATAATTTTAAAGTCGTCCCCAGACTATGTTGTGACGATCTCTGAATATTCCTCCTGTAGAGGGACAGGCCCGCCTCAAGCCTGGCTCGAGGGAGGGGTCGGTGGAGGGGCGGGGAGGATGAAGGGGCCCCAGGACACACAAATAAATACACACAAATAAAATAATCCCCCATATTTTCTCATATTTTCTGGGTGTTTGTCTTCCCCCCCACTTCCCATATTTTCCCATATTTTCTGGGGATCGCCGATGAATTGTGTCTGTGTGTTTTTTCCCCTCCTGAGAGGAGAGAGCGGGCCGAGAGCCGCAGGGCGGAAGAGACGGGTGCACCGCTCTGTGCCGCCCGCCAGCGGCAAGGGGGCGGCGGAGGAGAGGGGGGGGGAGGAGGCTGACAGAGGCAGGGCCTCCGCCTCCCTTCCCTCCCTCCCTCGCTCCCTCCCTGCTCCTCCCTCCTCGTCCGTCCTCCCTCCCTCGGCCTCGTCGCTCCTCTCTCCATCCTCCCCCCCTCGTCCGTTCTCTCTCCTCGTCGTCCTCGTCCTCTCTCCCTCCCCTCCTCCCCCTCTCTGGAGCAAGACGAGGGAGAGGGCGCCTATCTCCAGCGCGGAGTCCGCGATGCCGATCGCCAATGCCGCCAGCACGCCGCCGGCGACTGGGCCCTCGGATGTGAACTCTTTCTTTTCGGTCTCCTCGGTTGGCGGAGGATGCGGGAGCGGGGGGGGAAGGATAGACAAGCGGAATGCGGGAGATGAAACGCGGAGTGGTACAAGTTCAGCCGTACCACGGGACGTGGGCACGCGTTATACTCTTGAAATCAGCACCAGGACTCTGTTACAGTTAGCGCAGGAGGATCGGCACAACTCCCGACTCAAGAGTGCCCTCAGGCGATGGTGCCAAGGGTGAAGTACGAGGTGAGGAGCACCAGCAACGAAAACACATAGAACAAGTTCAATTCCCGCCTCTCTGTTGGCGACGCTGCCTGCTGCATAACCGCTCACGCACTTCTTACTGGGGCTGGTGATATCGCATCCCACTTCGGGATCATGTTAATACCCGCCTCGGCCCTTCGCATTGAATCAGATCCAGGGTTCTCCTTTCGGGAGCAAGCACCGCATGCTTTGATCTCAAGCACAGAGCAAGAGATTCCGCAAACCCTTTCCCTGGGCCAGACCTCTTCCCGAGTCGGGCCTCTTCCCGAGTTCCTGTAATGAGGCAAGCAAGGAACATCCGAGCGGAACGCAGACAAGCGGCACGAGGTTCGTTCGCGGATCCCACTCGCTGGAAGTCTGGCGGCTGCATACCCTCTCCCACGAATCACACCCCAGCAAGAAGTGTAAGCCTAACTCCCATCACCTCAAAATCCGCCGGCCCCCTTGTGGGGCCACCAGGCTGCGAGGAGCGGGATTCGCAGTTTCCTGTACCAGTTGTAGTTTGTAGTTTCCAGTGTTACAGTTCTGCTTATTGCTGGTTACTGTAACTAGTTGATTGACCGCGCGAGGGAGCCCCAATCCAGATTTTTAGCACCCCCTGGGCGCGTTGTCTGAATTGCTGGGGGGGCTCGAAATCGACACCCCTCACGCAGATCCGCGGGGTCAGGGTCCAACAACACATGGGATTTGCCACATTTCTGAAATTCGGTGCCACCCCTCACGCAGATCCGCGGGGTCAGGGTCCAAAAACACAGGGGATTTGCCACATTTCTGAAATTCGGTGCCACCCCTCACGCAGATCCGCGGGGTCAGGGTCCAAAAACACATGGGATTTGCCACATTTCTGAAATTCGGTGCCACCCCTCACGCAGATCCGCGGGGTCAGGGTCCAAAAACACATGGGATTTGCCACATTTCTGAAATTCGGTGCCACCCCTCACGCAGATCCGCGGGGTCAGGGTCCAAAAACACTCTTCACCCATCGAAATTCGGTGCCACCCCTCACGCAGATCCGCGGGGTCAGGGTCCAAAAACACATGGGATTTGCCACATTTCTGAAATTCGGTGCCACCCCTCACGCAGATCCGCGGGGTCAGGGTCCAAAAACACAAGGGATTTGCCACATTTCTGAAATTCGGTGCCACCCCTCACGCAGATCCGCGGGGTCAGGGTCCAAAAACACAGGGGATTTGCCACATTTCTGAAATTCGGTGCCACCCTTCACGCACATCCATCGCAAGGCGTGGTAACCCAAACTGCGAGAACTCCCTCGGCCCTTTAATCGCAAGGTGTGGTAACCAAGCCCGTAAACCATACACGTCTTACCAATCGCCAGGTGTGGTAACCCCTCTTGTGATCAGTTGGTTTTGCTGATTGCGAATCGGCTTCGCATGAAGTTTCGATACTGCTTCATGACAGCGCCAAGACCTCATGACTTAGCTCTTCCATGGCCCATTCTCCGAGAGAGGGGGCCGGCGGCAGGGGGCGAAGCCCTTACGGATATGAACCACTTCAGCTCTGAATGCCAGTACTCCCAGCTGGGCGAAACATCAACAACATTACGAGGAACCAATGCTCAAAAGGAAAGTGCCCGCAGACACCGCCTCTTTGTGAAGTGACCATTCCAACCTCCTCAAATAGATCCTATATCCGATTGAGGCTCCCGCTGCATGTGGCAGCGGAAAGCTAGAGAGCATCCCCCACCTAGCCAACCTTCCATGAGGAAGAGGGCAAGTGGGGGGGGGGGGTTATGTTGTGCAACGCCTTTCTGAAAAATCCCACAGACTGATTTCGAAACTCTCCTGATCAGCATCAGACGAGAGAAGTGGGGGCGGCAGGTGGGGATGGGGGTGCGACTCTGTGCCCAAATGTCAGGAGCAGTGAATTCACGTCGTGGTCGCGTGCGTCAATCCGACTCGCTGGGCTGGAGCACCTCGCGTACGATTGCACTCGAAGGCTAAGAATATCCAAAGCTCAACCGCCACCGCCTCGCGATTAACGTATATGTCACGGTTGAGCGAGACACGGTGAGCGGCCACCACCAAGGCTGTAGCTCAACCGCCACCGCCTGCGTTCACAGCAAGCGGCCACGCCCAAGCCAGTACTACAGAAGGCAACATGACACTCACCCAGCCAGTGCGTTGAGAACTGCGACCTCGTCGAATCAGTCATCATACAATTTAGCCATACGTGCACTGTTATGCAAAAAGGCACGTCCACATAAACGCTTTCTGTCCTCGCGTATCTGTTGTTATTGCTGGCAAGCGGCGCAATGGCGATGCACCCACTTCTGGTATCTATGATGGCGCATCTAGTTTTTCGGTCTTGAGGCCGTATGTATGAGAATTGGGTTCCCTCGTCAATGATGCAGAGTGCTGCAGACGACATGGACACCCCCATCTAGTCGACCACCCTTCGCCACAACCCCTTGCACTGAAGGTTCCCCCTCCAGGAGCAAGCCTAGGGCTTCAGTAATCGTGACAGCATGGAACCAAGTCTCGGAGCAGACATCTTCGGGGATGGACAGACCCCCCTTCAGTAAGACGTGGTTTAGTGAAAACGACCTGAGGCCCAAACCTGGCGGACGCAAGCCTGGAAAATAACGGCCACGGCGCCCTCTCGAGAACCGAAAACGGACAATTCACGAATCGGCGTGTCGCTGTTGGGGGTTCTGTCCACCCCCGACAGCTGGAGCTCGGGGCAGACCGGCAAAGTTCCGAGTGCCAGCCTGTCCCTGGCCGGCATGCAGCAACGTCGGTGCCCTGCTGATCATCGGTGATCTGCATGGCTCCCCATGGGCGTCTCGTGGCAGTCCACCTTCTCGCCATCGCTCGGACGGCCATTCCCTGTGTTTTTTTTCGGTTTCGTGCGTGGCTTCTTCGCCACATGATCAGGGATGCTCCTCGAGGGTCCTCGCCGGAGGAAACATGCGCACGTCCGAGCGATGCCAAGCCTTGGCCTGCCTACCAGTCTGCCGCGCTCCTGCTGTGCCTCCGCCGGGGCATTAGAGCCCCCCCCCGCCCCACGCCGAGCCTCGGCCCGAGCGACACCGAAACGGCACGGAGAAACGAATGGGGCGGGATGGGGCAGGCCTCAGTCCAGCATCTCGATGGCAAGAGGGCCTTGTGACTACCTACCAGACCACCCCAACCCAACCCGAAGACCCGAATTTCGGGTTGGCGGGGGTACGGGCTTCATATGTGTTTTTCCGATGTTCCCCGACCCCCCCCCCCACTGGAAATGGAGGGCAAATCGGGACCTTCGGGTTGGGTTGGGGTGGTTTGGTGGGCGGTGACCGTGGATGGGGCGGTTCGGAGGTCCCAGGAAGTCTCCGGATATCTCCCGAGGTCCCCGTAGGGGGGCAGGAGGAGTGAGAGGAGGAGGACGACCACCACGACGACGGTGAGCCCAGTATCACTGCTCGAAGGATTGCGAGACATACCACGGCGCCGACGAGGCGGCGGAGAGAGGGCAGACGGCGTCCGCTGCGTGCGGGCGAGCGGAGAGCTGGCCTCGACGCAGCGCAAGCAAACGCAGCATGGGGAGTGAGAGAAAGAGAGAGAGGGAGAGACAGGGAGAGAGAAGAGGAGGGAGGGAGGGAGGGAGGGAGGGAGACAGGGAGGGGAGGAGGGGAGGAGGGGGGGGGTGAGTGGGGGACGACCGACACGACGGCCCGCGCGCGTGCTGCGATGCTTGCTCCGGCGGGGCGTGGGGACGGCCGCACTGCCCAGGTGAGTCGGACGCCGCGCCTTCAGAGACCCAGGACGGGGAGGGGGCACGAGAATGAAGGGGCCCTGGGACACACAAATAAATACACACACAAATAAAACATTGTTCCCCTATTTTCTGGGTTTCTGTCGTCCCCCCACTTCCCATATTTTCCCTTATGTTCTGGGAATCGACAAATAATTGTGTCTGTGTTTTTTTCCCCTCCTGAGGGAAGAGGTGGCCAGGCGGAGAGAGCAGGGGGGATGTGATCATAGAAGGACAGCGGAGGCAGAGGGGTCCTCGAGGATCTCGTTCTCCGTGAGACTATCAACCTGCGGGCGCAAACTTTCCGCGCACGTGTATGTACATGGGGGAACAGGTATGTCTCTCATCTTATGTATATATACATGTGCAAGACCTGCATTCAGCGCTTGGCGCTGTGAGAGAAAATGCAGAGAAAGAGAGAGAGAGAGAGAGAGACGCAAACGCAAAATAATGAATCTACATGTACGGGACGGGAGCGATAAAGGGGAAACTGCTTCAGGAGGGGAATCATCGACCTGGAAACTGTGATACATCGCCGGTAGATCGGCGATGTGCCCCCAATTGTGGAACCGCACCGTTCTTGGCGGGGTGGGCCATCGGGCTCCCATCGGCGATGAATCGGCGTTTGGGGGCCGATGCATCCCCTCATAAGCCCGTCCCCGCTAACGTTGCCCCTGAAATCTCATGGTCACGTCGTTCTCCCCATTTCCTGTTTCTCTCTGTCCTCCTCTTTCCTCTTCCTCTTCCGCAATATCGCCCTTCCTTCTGCACCATTCCCCGTCCTCCGTTTCAACTTTTTTGCACGGAAGCCCGAACGACACGGCGTCGACGATAGCCTGATTCCGGGGGTCGAGTACAAGTTGATCATCGCCACCCGGCCATTCCTTTGCTCGCAAGGCAGCGGGAAAAGCCACTCACATGATTTCGGCCTGAGCCAGTCGAGGTCATTGCCTTATGGATACCATCCACAGTGCATTGCGCTCGAGTGTCCTACATTATTCCGGCCATGGGGTTCACGTACCCTGGACGGTGTGAGCCAGGTAGAGGTAGAAGTAGAGGAAGAGGTCAGGTCAGGTAGCTCCTGGAAATCGACTCGTCACACCAACCGTGCCACTGGGGGACTCCTGAGCGTCGCTTCGCGACATTCATTCTGGTGGTAGAGGAGAGGGAAAAGGGGGGAGGAGGAGGAGGAGGCGGCGGAGGAGGAGGAAGAGGAGGAGCACGAGGACGAGGAGGAGGAGGTAGAATCACGGGAAGAGGCGGGGGAGGAGGTAGAGGTAGATGAGGAGGGACACGAGGAAGGGGGACAAAGAAGGAAAACGGCGCGTCCGGACGCGGATGCCTTGGGGTACCTGAACGTCACGCCCTTCTGCAGCAGCCGGTCGCGCAGGTCCTCCACGTCGCTCTCCTCCCTCACGGAGAAGTAGCGGCCGTCCTGGAGCGCCGCGCATCGAGATTCGAGGTTGAGGTTCAACGCTTTCCAAGGCTGTCCCCATCTCGCTATGTTTAGGGAGCCCACAAAGGACGTACGCGCCCAGCTATGTACATGAACACGGCCCCTTGACCCGCGAGACCGGCCGCGTGATACGAGTATTCGCGCAATGCGAACTTTCGAAAACGGCGTGGATTCATGTACGTGTACGTCCTTCTTTCGCTCCTGAAAGTTGGGGCTGCCAAATTTGAACGAAACACCTCCCGGCCCGCCTCGCTCACCGAAGGAGACCGCGGCCGCCGGGCCCCCCACGCCCCGCGAGCGCCACGGAGGTGTCACGGCGTCGCGCCGTCCGGGCGTCACGTCGACACGCCACCCACAGACAGCTAGAGCAGGCCACCCTAACAGAGGTCAGTAGCGCACATCAATGCCATGCACAAGCACCACACAAAGCAACCATACATCAGCGGCAAGACTCATGAGCATGCGACATGTATCAATCACAGACACCAAGCCCCGAAAAATCATAGCGAATTCTTGTTAACGGAATCCACTGGCTGTACAGAGTGGAGGCTCCCCGGTAGCAGGATGTCTGCTTGGTGCCGTAGTGATCCAACAAACACTTGAACACTTATCAAGCAAGGTTGGCCGTGTACGGCTAGGTGGTAGAACGGTCATCTGGATAAATGGAAGCACTGGGCATGTGTGGAGTGGGAAAACGGTTCTCAGACACGTAGAGGATCGAAAGCTGAATGGGGAAGTGGTGGAGCGGTCCTCCCGATAAATGGAATAACGGCGCGGGGATATTCAAGAACAGCCGTAAATACCACACACAAGTGGAACGCATCAAGGACAGCAGCGCGTACCCGTCAAGTGCAACTTACGTCAAGTGCATACAACAACATGATTTCGTACTGCACGCCAAAGGCACCCACACATACTAGCAGCACAGTAATGACATGCGGCAGCCACATGGGTGACGCCCATGTACCACCACCAAAATTCAAACACGGGACCTATGAACGCACTTCAAGAACGCACGCCCACACCACTAACACACAATTTTGCAATAGACCATACGCGGGAAAAAAGCAGCAGCCCATCATTTGAACAGGCAGCAGTGGAATAAAGCAAGAGCGTTATGCTCTTACACCGAGAGTGCGTACCGATATTACACACATGCGCTATATACATCAAAAACATACGTCGGCCGCGCACATCAGCAGAACCACATCAAACACATACAACACGCATATATGCCAACAACCCACGTCCAATCAGACACCAACAACATATGCCAAGGCGACGCACCACAATCTTACATCAATGATGCAGCATCAGTGTGTGAAAACAAGGGCACGCTCGCATGCATAACCATGTAACCGCACCACGAACACACATATCAAACACCTAATAACACGCGTGCGTTCCACAACACACTAATGTAGCCACACATAACGTTCACCAGCACTCGCGACTACCAATCAGACATAACAAGTGCAATGATCGTGAATCAGCAAGCATGCAACATATCACACCGTAGAGCACTCGCGACAGACTTCGAAGCCATCTGTAGCAACTCGCCTGTGGGGAAAAGCCCCGATGGCAAGGTTCGCATGGCGACGCTGCCACAGTTCCGGCACACCCCTCACACGTGCGTGGCTTTTCGGCACGCCCTTCAAGCAAGGCTCGCATGGCGACTCCGCCCCCATGTCGGCACACCTATCACACGTGCGTGGCATGTCGGCACACCCTCCAAGCGTCTCGTGGCACCTCCGCAGAAGGTCCCAAATGGCAAGGTTCGCATGGCGGCTCCGCACCCATCTCGGCACGCCCCGCACACCTTCTGCGGCCCCATTGGGAGCTTCGCGCACGGGCCAGTGAGAGCGCCTGTACGGCGCCACGCCCTCATTGCGGAATACCCCGCGCACGCTTCGTGGTCCGCTCATAAGGGGCTCCACCTAGGGCCCCAACGAAGTCGCCCGTATGGTGTGTCAGCACACGCCTGAAACGATCGTGGCTCCATGGGGCAGCTCCACCAACGGCCCTAGCGAGGTCGCCGTATGGCGGCGCCGCCTCATTCCGACACACCCCTCACACGTTTAGCAGCCCCATACAGATGCTCCACTAAGGGTCTAGTGGGGTCGTCTGTCCACGGCGCCTCATTTCGGCGCGTCTCGCCACCGCTTCGTGGCCTCCCATAGGAAGCTCTACCCACGGCCCCAACGAGGTCATCCAATGTCGGCTCACCTCTCACACGCTTTGTGGCTCCAAAGGGAGCTCCACCCACGGCCCCAAGGCCTCCAGCGAGGTCGCCCGCAAGGCCCCATGGGGAGCCTTCCTTACGGCCCCATCGAGGTCGTCCGTATGACCGCGGTGCCGCATTTCGGCACACACCGCACGCGCCTATTGCCCCCATTGGGCTGCCCACCTGCGGCCTCAGTGAGGCCGTTCATATGGCGGCGCCGCCTCCTTTCGCCACATCCCTCACACATGTCGTGGGCCACATTGAGCTACACCTAAGGGCATCGTGGGGTCAGTCGTAAGATTTCGGCACGCGCCGCCTCGTGGCCCCATGGCGAGCTCCTCCCACAGCCCCAATGAGGTCGTCCGAGGGGCGGCGCCGCCTGATTTCGGCACACCCCCTGCCCATCCGTTTGGTGGCCCTATCGGAATGCCCAACTGCGGCTCCAGTGGGGTCGTCCGTGTATGGCGGCAGCGAATCAGTTCGTCACACCACTCACACGCTTAGTGGCCCGATAGGGATCAGGAAGAGCAGGAGGAGCAAGATCAGAAGGAAGAGGAAGAGGAGGAGGATCATGAGGATCAGGAGGATCAGGAGGAGATTCCGAAGGATAGAAGGATCCAGAGGATCTTGAAATGACCAGCGCACGTCGGCGGAATTCCCGTTGTTTCCGCGCTACGTAGCTTATAAGCTCTACCTTGAACGGTTCTCCTCACCCTAACGCGTGCTCCCCCTAATCCTCGTGTTTGTCCCTCTCATCCTGCCCTGACCCTCGTGGGTGTCAGCATGTATTTCCAGGGCCCTCGCATAGACGACCTCAAATAACACGTGTGCTGACGGCGCTTGATGTCCCACTTGGAACTCCGTTATCCGTCCGCCGACTGCCGAGAAGAGGGACATGGTCTGCGCTACTACACTTAACTGATCTGGGTTGGGTAATTCGCCAAACTAGATTATGTACCTACATCTATGCACTCCGCCATGATAGAGAATGCCCCCTTGCCGAAGCCGAGCTTAACGCCGCCATCCCCTTCAATTGGTTATTAGTTTGCTTGCGGTATCCCACCCGGTGCCGGTATTTACCCCCCCCACACACCCCTGTCAAAGGAGAATATGCGGAACGAAAGCCCTGGGGGGGGGGGCGCATGCAGTCCATCAGTCCATTCCGGCACACACCTCAGACACTTCGACGCTTCGTGGGTCCATAAGGAGCTCCACGGAAGCCCTCAGGGGGGGTTCGCATACGGTTCTCCACCACTTTCGGCACACGCCCCTCATACGTTTCGTGGCCCCCTAGGGAGCTCCACCGAAGGCCCCAGTGGCACAACCCACATGTGTCCTCAGTGCCATTTCGGCACACCCGTCACACGCTGCGAGGCCCCATAGGGAGCTCCAACTAAGGCCCCAGGGGGGGCAAGGTACACATTCGGTCCCCCAGCCGACTCTGGCACACACACGCACACACCTCACATACTTCGTGCCCCTATATTCGGGAGCGGCCAAGAGGGGGGTGTCCAAGAGGGGGGGGTGCAAATCATTACCGGCGGCATGTGCGCGGCCCAGGGGGGGGGGCAGGGACGTAATGAAATAAGAGGAGGCGCCATGAAATCTGGGGAAATATCATGGCCCACGCCATGATATCCAACCCCCCTAGTCATCACCCCCCTATTGGTCGCCCCCGATATATGGAGCTTCAACTACAGCGCACCGGGGAAGGACGGGGGGTACGCATGCGGTCCCCCAGCCCCAGTGGCAGGGCGCGCATGCGCCCCCAGGCCCACTTCAGCACACCTCTCACACGGTTCGGGGTCCCACAGGGAGCTCCATTAGAGGCGATATTCACAAGTGCGGCACTCACAACTGAATATGGCAAGACAACGCTGTAAACGCGCGAACTTCCTCATCACCAGCATCATCGTCATTATCGCTGTAAACGCGCGAACTTCCTCATCACCAGCATCATCGTCATCACTATCGCCACCATCACCATTGCCATTGTCAACACTATCACCATCACCATCATGGTCATCATCATCACCGTCGTCGTCATCATCGGCAACGCCGTTTTCATTGCCCTCGTCATCATCGCCATCTCCATCACCATCACCATCACCATTATCGTCATCATCAACATCATCACCATCATCACGATCTCCATCACCATCAAAATCATCATAATCACCACTGGCGTCGTTGCCGATGTCGCCATTAACAACATCCCCCGCCAACTCGGATAATGAGTTCGCAAGATCGGGGTCATCGCGTCACTACGGCAGCTGAGCTTTGCCAAGAAGTTGCGGGTGAGCGTGAGGGGTTGTTCACTCGAACATTGGAACTGGCTGCTGCAGCGTCTTCAAACTTCAAAGAAGAATTGCACCACATAGCTTCCAACACGTAGCTGAAACCATATAGCTTCCGCCACATAACTTCCACCACGCAGCTTCCACATCCAAAGTGCACAAACTCACAAATTTGACCCGCGCTGGCAAACGTCTCCATATCCTTCGGCTGCCCTGTTGAGAAAGATGGATCATGCTCTCCCGCTCTCGTCCTTCCTAATCACCCTCTCTATTGGAACGCCCAACTGGGTTTCGACGCACGCAGGGACTTGGCCGTCCTGGATGCTGCCAGCCGCACGAATACTGCAACTTTCCGGGGCCCCTCGGGGGGGGAAGTCCAGCGAAGTGGTGTCACACGATCATCCGAGTTGTACCTCTGCTTTTGGCCTTTCGGCGCCTGTGAGATGGGCTTTGACAGTATGAAGCATAACATCCGAATAGCCCCCCCCCGCTGCCATCATCTTCGTATCCCTCGTCTTT